CACTTAATCCTTTGTGGCAATCACTTCAGCTCACGATTTGCTCTGCGGTTTTATGGTATTTATTTAGACACTAATAAAATAGAAGTACTGCAAAAATACAATGCTTTAAAAGCACAGCTATAATAACATTCGTAATTCGGCAAATTATGACAGACACCAGAAGCCACCGCCGAACTAGCGGCGACAGCTAAAGTAAGACAATGCAGCAGAAGTGAACAATCGCATAAAACCGCATTAATGGCACAGACTGTTGCGACTGTGGCTGCTGCGGAGTCGTAGTCCTTATCATAAACGCGGCCATAACTGCAGGCCGCAGACCAAGTCATCTCCACTGCATTGTTTTTCACTCCAATTCTTAACTCCGACGCCGCCGACGCAAAATGACAAGAGCGGCAGCGTACGAACCGAGGATTATTTCTTGCTTTGCGGGTGCAGATGACAAAGCAGCGAAGCATCTAATGAATGTCAACAACTTTACTCACAATGCAAATAGCAAACGATAACAAGAATGCGGGAAGTGTGTGGTGTTGACTCCAATTTTCGTATTGCACAGTCATCAACTGGAATATGTTCCTTTTGTTTAACGCAATGGAAGTTTTCAGATAAAAGGCAGATTTCATCTTTCTACTATTTCCTTCAATTTTAGTAATGAAAGTCCACTTTAACTCCCAGTAGAATACTTTAAGGGAAGACAACTGAAATGTGAATTTTTACCTTAATTTGCATCTCTGGAAATATTTAAAAATTAGTTTCGATGTATTGAATGCCTTTAGAGATCAGATAAATGAACATAGAAGATAATCGTTATACAGTAAGTTTTAAGTCATAATTGAACCGTGCTTTTAAGTCTCCTTATTTTTTATGCCTGTATCCGTCGGTCGTTACTGACGAATTCTTTGGAAACTAGAAAAAAAGAGTTGATGTTGTCTAGCAATCTGAAAACTTGCCACGGTCAGTAGTGCACCGCCGGTGCAAGAGGTCCACGGAACTGAACGTTTTATACAACTTGAAAAGATCCAAAACGGGGATTTTCGTATATCTTTTAATTAATATTTACATTAAAGATACACTATAATTAGAAAGGAATTCTTTCGGATTTTCATTAAGATTTCTTACATATTGACCAATAGATACGGAATAAAGAAAAAAATATTTATATTAGATATAAGGGAAGTATTGATCTGATTTTACCCATTTTTGACACAAGGGCACAAAAATATTCTCCCGAATTTCAATACTAGAACTCATATACTAAGCGATATGTTCGTTAAAAAATCGGCCATATTCACTGCTGTCCTCGTTTTTGGTATCTGGGTCCTTGAAAATTTATAGTCCGATTTCGAAAATTTTTGGGCGTTAGATTAAAAAGCTTGAAGGCACTATTTGTGCAAAGTTGAGTTCTGATAACTTCATTGATATTTAATTTGTATACTGTAAAGTGATAGATATAGTAATGGTTGTCATCCGATTTCACCCATTTTCACAGTGTATGGTAGTAATATTTGAGTTACTTCACAAACCAAATTTGGTTAAAATTGGTAGTAGTTCCTGTCATATAGGAAAAACCTAAAGGTGAGCGGTGCCTCATTGCCCAATTTTTACACCTGCTCCTTTAAAGCCATTTGCTACCCTCTTGGTTATGAAAGGGAGTTATCGTTTTAAACATATCAGTTATATAGGGAAAGGGCGTGGTTATAACTGATTTTACCGATTTCAAAAGTGTATGAAGAACTACTAACAAGACTTTTTTTAGCAAGTTTGGTTGAGTTAGCTTCAGCGGTTTAAGATATATGTACATTAAACCATTTAGAGGTCTTGGGCATGCCCATTTTACAAAAGTTTTGGCCCCTATTATCTCTCCCTACTGCGATCCCCTGTCGAAAATTACAGTTTTGTTTCCTAACTTAGTGCTTAGTTATGGCACTTTATGTGTTTTTGCTTAACGGTACTTTGTGGGCGCAGCAATAGACCGATTCCGCCCATCTGCAATACCAAACCTCTTTGGGTACGAATGAACATATGTAGCAAGTTTTATCAAAATATTCTAATTTTTACTGAAGTTATCGCTTGCACGGACGGACAGACAGATAGTCACTCCGAATTAAACCCGTTTCGTCACCATGATCTCGATCAATTTTAGGTGACACAAGCAACCGCTAGAGAACAAAACTATTATACTCTGAGCAACATGTATTTTTTGGAGTTACAGACTCCAGCATTCAGGAGTTACAGTGTAGCCGTCAGTAAGCAACCAGTTGATCTTTCACGTGTTTTTATGCTCTTGCAAGTTGTTGCTGCAGAGTATAATAGTCGGAGGATAACGGTTTTATTAAAAACTACTTAAAGCGCGATAAATCAATAACTAAATGCACCAGGCGCATTAAATTTTACTCCCAGAATGACACATTAGGGCTTTATAGGAGCTGGGGTCAAAACTAAACGATTGGCGTGGCATTGCACTCAGTTAGGTGAAATCACATATCTCCGGAACTTGTTGAATAATTAATTCAACCAAATTTAGTAAACAACATTATCTTGACAATCCTCCGTCAAGGTATGAAAATGGGCGCAATCAGACTACAACCACTACTACTGCCCATATAGCACAATTTTCAATTCCATATGATTCCTTTACTTTCCAGTACACAAATCAAGCAATAATGAACACATTTAAACAAAACTTTGCACAAATAGTGCCTTTGAGACCTTTTATTCAACCCCTCACATTCCGAATATGTAGAGCCCAATGCGTATGGTTGACTTTTTGCCGAAAATATCGGTCAATCTAAAAGAGTTTTTTATTGAAATTTGGGAAAAATGTTTCCTTCATTATAATATACCCTTTTGCCTGTATTGAATCGGGGCAATACTTTCCTTAACCTCCATATATGTACCTAATATAAAGATTTTCGAAATTCCAGTTGATCTTATACCACATACGGCCAATGTGGGAGTTATTTTAGTAAAATTGAGAAGGCATGTTTTTCTAACAACAGTGTATCTTTTTGTCCAAAATGAATAAAACCGGATGAAAACTTGCCCCAGCCCCCATATAAGTGATTCACGATTTTGATACATCCGGGTAACTTTACTCCATGTGCAATATATGTAGGCTTACATTTATATACTTATAAAACTTAATCTAAAACTAAGTTCTCAAGTATACCTGAACAATATTAAAATGGACAACCTTTTCATTTGACAAGATATCTTCACGAAATTCAGCAGAGATTATAACCCAAGGCATTGCTATTTTACAATTTCTGTTACTTTTTCAGAAATAGTAATATTATACATATAGTTGCTATAAGAAATTCAGCAGTGTGGTACACTAGATTCGCTGCAGCCGAAGTTAACATTTTTTCTTGTTTTTAGTTACTTGGCAAACATCGAATAAATCGCTCAATACATCATTTTTTTACTTTTTGTGTAAATGTGTTTATTATGTGTAAACATAACTTTAAAATAATTGAAGATTTAATCTATAGTTTTCTTTAAGAAAATTCCCTAAAATCAGTTTTTTTTTTTGGCAGTCACAAAACGTGTGCCTCTTAATTGAATAAAATTGGAAAAACAAACGATTAATCAATAAATGAAATATTTAAAGTGGATTGAGTGCACTAAAAGTTGAATATATTTTTGGATAGAGTTACCATATATTTGAAACATTTAACCCAAACAAATTGATTATAATTACAAATTCGGTGATATAATATTGATATCAAATTAGTCAGCCAAAAAGTTCTACCATATTGGCTTCGTTTGTCGATGCGACGTTTTATCAATCAAAATACACCAAAGGAAAAATTATAACATAAGTATAAATAGAAACATTTCAATCAAGAATTATCAACCAATTAATTAATAAGTGTTGGGAACTTTCGAATGATTTGAACTATCGATAGTTAATAACTGAATGATTTTGACTATCGAATTAATTTTTTTGTTCATTTAAGCATGTATACATAACTACAATTTCGAATCGCAATACATGACCAAGTTGCCAACTTGCTTAATTCAAATCCATTGGAATTTTTTCCAACCAACTGGAAACTGTCAATAAAGCTTGCAAATATCAGCAATGACCACACGAATCTATTTTCATTCATCTTACTTACTTGGGGATGGTAACTACATTTTTCATAAATCTATATTTATTACGAATAGTATGAATATTTTTCACTTAAATATATTTTAATTATCTATTAACTTCTACCATTCATACAGGCATTCTATTAAATTTCCATTATTTAACACCAAACAAACACACAGTTTAAGCATTATTCATAAATTTGCTTAATATAATATAATATTATTAACAGTAGATGAAGACACTTTCATACACAAAAATCATTCATTTGAAAAATAATTCATTCGAAAAATCGTTCAAAATCGAAAAAATAGGAATGAACGAAAAATTAGTAAAGAATGATTTTTTGAAAACTATCTAATGACTGAAAATTGCTGAATTATCAAATAACTTGATAGTTTTTTTCGATAGTCCCCATCACTATTTATAATAGAAATCAGAGTTAACAATAATATCCATCTCGAATTGACAATACTAATTTTTCCCACAATATACAATGATTGTATATATTATACTTGTATCTACTTATTAGGGCGTTTATGCTTCAATGACACATATAACGGTGGTTCTTAAAATATAAAGTAGATATGTATATACTGTACCTAATATGAAAGTCAATCGAAAATCGCTATTGAGAGCTAAATGTGCTATTGGATAATGTTCACCTTTCCATCAAAGAGGGCGGAGTCCGTTGCTCGTCTTAGGTAAAGCTATTGCATACTTGAACTCGTTTTCGGCTTCTAATAAAACATGCATTTATCTATATACAATATAATTATATATAATATTTATACATTCTATAGATTTATTTTAATACCGACAATGTCTACTTTCTAAAGTACAGTAAGAAATTTAAAATCAAGTTATACTTTTCACCTCACTTGCTAAAACATTACTTATCTCATCGCAGGTTGTAATCGCACCTACTATGGAGATATCGGCTTAACCTACTCTCTGGAGCTGTACCGACCCAAACAGGACCGACTACCGTACGTGTGTGTACTGACTTTTACTGCCGCAGGTGGCCAACATGGCGACGTCGTTCAGGTATGTATAAAATAATTATTTTAGTGTTAAGTTATAATTTTGATTGAGTAGTTGTTAAAAGGAAGAATATACTTGAAGACAATAATCTTCTATACATACTGAAAACATATAATCGACAACAAAAAACACATTGCAGAAAAGTAGTCATGCTGTTATACTTTCTGTTGTTAAATTTTGAAATTCTTCAGCCAGCTCTAAAAAATTTAAGATTTTTAAATTTAAAATTTCCAATGTAAAGCGGAACTTGCTGCTTTTGTTGTCATTTTTATTTTTATTGTGCATCCTTTTGCCCAAGCAAGTATCTCCGGCGCCAAACATCCGCTGAAGCGTGCGAATCACGAGTGAGAGTGCAAGGTTCAACTGGGGTGTATGAGTGTTTGTGATGTTTCACAAAAATTTGAATGTTTCAAAAATTTCGGCAGAAAAGTGTGCTGCAAACAATTTGATGATATTTTCTTTGATATAAACGCATACGAGCTACCGTATTTATTCACACAAATTTTGGATGCCAAAAGTTGAGGCATTACCTTTGAGGTAAAATTATGCAAATCATTTTATGAAAATTATGGCGCAAAAACACTTTGGGGAGACCACAACAAAGAAGGAATTTTTGCGAGCTATTAAATTTATTTTATTTATTCATATGAATGTGTGTGTATGTGTAGGCATACACCTAAAATGGTTGGAATATACAGTAAAGGAATATCATAATTTATAGCAAAATTTTTAGTAAACAAATTCAAAAAATGTATATAACACCTCCTATGGAGTTTTTTGTGTTGATGGAGAATTTTGTTTACATCCACTTTCACAAGTACACATGTAGGCGTACAAATTTCATCAAATTTATATAATTATGAGCTTTTTTCATTTTTTAACAGCTTAAATCCCGCGTTTGTTATTTTTCATATCAAAAACGTAATACCAACCATAGTAGTAAAATGGCTAAGGCATACATATAAGTATATATACATATACATTACATATATATGTATTTACATACGTTACCCGCGTTGCTGGGTCTTTTAAATACTTTTATAATATGGTAAACCATTCAATATATTGAAAATATTGTTTTCGAATAAGGCGAAAGCGTTATTGCCGGTATAATAATTCGTAGAATTGTATTCGAGGTTTAATTTTGAAAATGCTTGATACAAATATTTGTCAATAGAAAAAATAAATATTCCATTTTGCATTTTCCTGAAAGTTATAATAATAATTAATATATTTTTTCTTTGTAATTTTAACTAATTTGTATGTGTCGAAATATAGCTACAATTTTAGTTACAGCCAATTAAATTATATCCGCTCAGATCAATCCGGTTCCCTAGTTTATTTTTATTTTCTCCAAACAACATTTTTCGAATTTTCTGCAATGATAACACGAAGAAAAATGATCCGATTGTCATGAAATTTTGTTCTGCCTATTTTGTATATAATTCTATATACAAGAACTGTGTCGGTTTTTTGATCTGATCAAAAATCGAATTTGGCGGGCCAAAACAATCAAAACTTGGAGTAAAACTCAATTTTTTTTTAAAACGCCACCAATTTGTCAATTTTTGATATTTTTTAGGTTAAATCCACAGAGAAGGCCGGAATCACTGCCGCAGTGGAGGACCTTATTTATTTTAGCGCCGTTCAAGATCTCATATCACTTAAAAAATATTTAATATTTTTATTTTTTTCAAACATTTCACTGTACAAATTTCAGTACATATAATTTTCAAAACAATCCCTACAGGTTTTTCTTTTTATTTCGCAAAAATCGACGTTTGTTTAGGCTGTCACACTAAGTGTGTCCCTTAAGTTGGATTAAACTAGACATACAAGTAGTGTGCTAAATTTTAACTAAATCAGTTCAGTAGTTTAGATGTTCCGCCACGAAATCCATGAGGAATAGTCATCCTTTAGGATGCCTACGCTTGACGGAAATTTCAACACTTTCGATTTCTGCATTGAATGCGAGCGGAGGTCACAATACTGCTAATGGTGTGTAGGCACCCTTTCGTTATTAAAGTGACATATGCCACTATCTTGGGGGCTTTTTCGTCTTAATTCCTTATCGAAACCGCATCGAAACCTTCCCACATGCGCTCATACCCACAGTTCATAGATTTTTACTCGAGCATGCCTCACATGATTTAAGACAATCCTACATTACTCTAGTAAATTTGCCTGTTCTCGTGGCTTATCCGTAGGTGGGCTTTTACACACAGACTCTTTTGACCCTCGTTTTCGGCAAATTCTCTTTTGCTGTCGCTCTATGCATTCACACACATAAAATTTTCGAAAATGTTTGTGCGGTTTGGCTACGCGACACTTAGAGTGTGTTGCATAGTTAATTTGTATGTTGGGATGGTGGTCCCACATTTTGTTTGCAATGAGTTAGCATGAATGTGGTAGAACAATATGCATAATACCCACTCGCTTAATAGTTTTAAAGAAATACTTAAGACGGGAATTCTCTAATCCACCAGAATGTATTGAATACCCGCTACTAATATTTTCAAGGTCAAATTTATAACAGGACTTTCCTAATCTTTAAGTATTAAAAATTCATAATTTCTTTACTCCATATTTGTGTCTATTTATTATAAAACATCCTTGAATTAATTACAATTCTCATTTAAAATAAAATAATATTCGAACTAACTCCTTTACGGTTAAATGAAATAAATATGAAAGCATCTTAATGTTTTATGTAAAGTTAGCATTTTTATTAGAATTATTTTATGTATAGTAGTACATTATTACATTTAATACCGCTATATGTCATTAAAAATGTAAATTGAATATTTTTGAGTATCTGAATTTTCTCCTTATTTACAATTTTTCAAAATATTTCTATTATTCTATTCATACATATTTTCGGTAGAAGGTCAATTATAGGCACTGGGGTCCACATATTTAGTACTTAGGGGCTTGAACAGTTTTGGTTCGATTTAGACAATTTTTGGTCACAAGGTGGCATACTTTAAACGTATTATTCACGCTAAGTTTTACCCCGATATAATCATTGTTGCTTAATATGCATACTGGAAAGTGAAAGAATCAGATGGAATTGAAAATGGTGTTATATGGGAAATACGCACTATAACATAGAAATATGAAAAGAACGTTATGCACCGAATTTGGTTGAAATCGGTTAAGCAGATCCCAAGATATGGGTTTTCACCTAAAAGTGGGCTGTGCCACGTCCACTGTCTAATTTTGAACGCGGTTCCTATAAAGTCATCTCATACCATCCCAGAGATAAAATTTAATGTCTGTGGTGTGTTTAGTGCTTGATTTATCGCTACCGTTATATGGAGAGTGGGCGGAGTTGCCACCCATTTTCACACTGTAGGTAGAGGTTCTAAAAACATTTGCTTCCAGTGAATTTTGTTATTATAGCATTAGCGGTTTAAGAGATATGCACATTAAACCTATTAGGGCGGGACCACGCCCACTTTAAAAAAAATTTAACTGCAAATGCCCCTCCCTATTGTGATCCTGTATACCAAATAAGAGTCTTGTATCTTGTTGTGGAGCTTAGTTATGGCAATTTATTTGTTTTTGAATTATTTTAGTGTTAAGTTATAATTTTGATTGAGTAGTTGTTAAAAGGAAGAATATACTTGAAGACAATAATCTTCTATAAATACTGAAACATATAATCGACAACAAAAACACATTGCAGAAAGTAGTCATGCTGTTATACTTCTGTTGTTTAAATTTTGAAATTCTTCAGCCAGCTCTAAAAATTTAAGATTTTTAAATTTAAATTTCCAATGTAAAGCGGAACTTGCTGCTTTGTTGTCATTTTTATTTTTATTGTGCATCCTTTTGCCCAAGCAAGTATCTCCGGCGCCAAACATCCGCTGAAGCGTGCGAATCACGAGTGAGAGTGCAAGGTTCAACTGGGGTGTATGAGTGTTTGTGATGTTTCACAAAATTGAATGTTTCAAAATTTCGGCAGAAAAGTGTGCTGCAAACAATTTGATGATATTTTCTTTGATATAAACGCATACGAGCTACCGTATTTATTCACACAAATTTGGATGCCAAAAGTTGAGGCATTACCTTTGAGGTAAAATTATGCAAATCATTTATGAAAATTATGGCGCAAAAACACTTGGGAGACCACAACAAAGAAGGAATTTTTGCGAGCTATTAAATTTATTTTATTTATTCATATGAATGTGTGTGTATGTGTAGGCATACACCTAAATGGTTGGAATACAGTAAAGGAATTCATAATTTATAGCAAAATTTTTAGTAAACAAATTCAAAAATGTATATAACACCTATGGAGTTATTTGTGTTGATGGAGAATTTTGTTTACATCCACTTTCACAAGTACACATGTAGGCGTACAAATTTCATCAAATTTAATAATTATGAGCTTTTTCATTTTTAACAGCTTAAATACCCGTTTGTTATTTTTCATATCAAAACGTATACCAACCATAGTAGTAAAATGGCTAAGGCATACATATAAGTATATATACATATACATTACATATATATGTATTTACATACGTTACCCGCGTTGCTGGGTCTTTAAATACTTTATAATATGTAAACATTCAATATATTGAAAATATTGTTTTCGAATAAGGCGAAAGCGTTATTGCGATAATAATCGTAGATAGATTCGATGGTTAATTTTGAAATGCTGATACAAATATTTAATATGAAAAAAATAATATATGTCCATTTGCATTTTCCTGAAAGTTATAATAATAATTAATAATATTTTTTCTTTGTAATTTTAACTAATTTGTATGTGTCGAAATATAGCTCAATTTAGTTACAGCCAATTAAATTATATCCGCTCAGATCAATCCGGTTCCTAGTTTATTTTATTTTCTCCAAACAACATTTTTCGAATTTTCTGAATGATAACACGAAGAAAAATGATCCGATTATCATGAAATTTGTTCTGCCTATTTGTATATAATTCTATATACAAGAACTGTGTCGGTTTTTGATTGATCAAAAATCGAATTTGGCGGGCCAAACAATCAAAACTTGGAGTAAAACTCAATTTTTTTTAAAACGCCACCAATTTGTCAATTTTGATATTTTTTAGGTTAAATCCACAGAGAAGGCCGGAATCACTGCCGCAGTGGAGGACCTTATTTATTTTAGCGCCGTTCAAGATCTCATATCACTTAAAAAATATTAATATTTTTATTTTTCAAACATTTCACTGTACAAATTTCAGTACATATAATTTTCAAAACAATCCCTACAGGTTTTTCTTTTATTCGCAAAATCGACGTTTGTTTAGGCTGTCACACTAAGTGTGTCCCTTAAGTTGGATTAAACTAGACATACAAGTAGTTTGCTTTTTTTCAGTTCAGTAGTTTAGATGTTCGCCACGAAATCTATGAGGAATAGTCATCCTTTAGGATGCTACGCTTGACGGAAATTTCAACACTTTCGATTTCTGCATTGAATGCGAGCGGAGGTCACAATACTGCTAATGGTGTGTAGCACCCTTTCGTTATTAAAGTGACATATGCCACTATCTTGGGGCTTTTTCGTCTTAATTCCTTATCGAAACCGCATCGAAACCTTCCCACATGCGCTCATACCCACAGTTCATAGATTTTACTCGAGCATGCCTCACATGATTTAAGACAATCCTACATTACTCTAGTAAATTGCCTGTTCTCGTGGCTTATCCGTAGGTGGGCTTTTACACACAGACTCTTTTGACCCTCGTTTTCGGCAAATTTCTTTTGCTGTCGCTCTATGCATTCACACACTAAAATTTTCGAAAATGTTTGTGCGTTTGGCTACGCGACACTAGAGTGTGTTGCATAGTTAATTTGTATGTGGGATGGTGGTCCCACATTTTGTTTGCAATGAGTTAGCATGAATGTGGTAGAACAATATGCATAATACCCACCCGCTTAATAGTTTTAAAGAAATACTTAAGACGGGAATTCTCTAATCCACCAGAATGTATTGAATACCCGCTACTAATATTTTCAAGGTCAAATTTATAACAGGACTTCCTAATCTTTAAGTATTAAAAATTCATAATTTCTTTACCCATATTTGTGTCTATTTATTATAAAACATCCTTGAATTAATTACAATTCTCATTTAAAATAAATAATATTCGAACTAACTCCTTTACGGTTTTAATGAAATAAATATGAAAGCATCTTAATGTTTTATGTAAAGTTACATTTTTATTAGAATTATTTTATGTATAGTAGTACATTATTACATTTAATACCGCTATATGTCATTAAAAATGTAAATTGAATATTTTGAGTATCTGAATTTTCTCCTTATTTACAATTTTTCAAAATATTTCTATTATCTATTCATACATATTTTCGGTAGAAGGTCAATTATAGGCACTGGGGTCCACATATTTAGTACTTAGGGCTTGAACAGTTTTGGTTCGATTTAGACAATTTTTGGTCACAAGGTGGCATACTTTAAACGTATTTATATAGAAGTTTTACCCGATATAATCATTGTTGCTTAATATGCATACTGGAAAGTGAAAGAATCAGATGGAATTGAAAATTGTTATATGGGAAATACGCACTATAACATAGAAATATGAAAAGAACGTTATGCACCGAATTTGGTTGAAACGGTTAAGCAGATCCCAAGATATGGGTTTTCACCTAAAAGTGGCTGTGCCACGCCACTGTCTAATTTTGAACGCGGTTCCTATAAAGTCATCTCATCCATCCCAGAGATAAAATTTAATGTCTTGGTGTTTAGTGCTTGATTTATCGCTACCGTTATATGGAGAGTGGCGGAGTTGCCACCCATTTTCACACTGTAGGTAGAGGTTCTAAAAACATTTGCTTCCAGTGAATTTTGTTATTATAGCATTAGCGGTTAAGAGATATGCACATTAAACCTAGGGCGGTCGAC